AAATCTCCCGGGTTTGCGCGTGCACGTGAAAAACTTTGTTTCGTTCGTACGTCATGGCGAAACACCTAATGAGTCGGTATCAAGGCGACTCGTTTGAAGCACTATGATTCGACTCTTTTATAGATGAATCAACAGTTTTAAACACTGTATTCTTACAGATTTAAGCCTTAGCTGAATACTTCACTTCACTTAGAGCTGTGTTACACACTACATGGAGGGGAATTTTCAAAAACCCATAATATGGGCTCTTTAAATGTTTTAACAATGTTAGAAACATGCTAGATTATGTGACCATAATGCTTATTTACGCTAGGAATATATCTACGTTGTGTTAATAATGCTAGAAACATGCTAACATAATATTACATGCTAAATTATGTTAATAATTGTTAAAACTAACAAGAAGACATCTTAATTTATTTTAGCAACATGCTAATCCATGCTAGCAATGTCTCTACATTGTGTTAACAATGCTAGAAACAGAATACTAACATGCTAAATTTAGTTTGTAACTATTAAAACAAGCGAGAGGACATCTTAACTTATGTTAGCAACATGCTAATACATGCTAGCAATGTGTTTGCATTGTGTTGCTAATGCTAGAAACATAGTAACAGCATACTAACATGCTAAGTGATGCTAGGAATTCATCTACACTGTGTTAATGCTGGAAACATACCAACAATATGCTAACAACATGCTAAATAATGTTAGTATATATTACAACAAGCTAGAAATTACTGGTTAGTTAAAAACAATAGATTTCAGTAACAATGTTCAAATAGTGTCACCTTTAATCAATCCTTGTTGAATAAAATAAATATATATAAACAGCTTAAACCAGCCTAAGCTGGTCAGGTTGGTTTTAACTGGACACCCAAGCTGGTTTTATCAGGTTTCCTGGGCTGGTCATAGCTCCTTTGTCAGGCTGGTTTTAGAGGGGTTTTGGTCACTTTTAAGCTGGTCTTACTTGGTCAGGTTGGTCTTAGCTAGTCTTAGCTGGTCAGCCTGGTTTTAGAGGGTTTATGGCCACTTTTGAGCTGGTCTTAACTGGTTTTAGCAGGCCAGGGAGGTTTTAGAGCGGTTTTGGCCACTTTTAACGGGTCTTAGCTGGTCAAGCTGGTCTTTGGTGGTTTTGTTAGGCTCGTCTTAGCTGGTTAGGCTTGAACAACAGGTAAGCCTGACCAGGCTGGGGGACCAGCTGAATCAAGCTTGACCATTCTGGGAGACCAGCTAAAACTGGCTTGACCAGGCTGGGGGACCAGTTAAAACCAGCTAAGCATGGTTTTAGCATGGCAGCTAAAGTCCAGCCAACCAGCTTAGGCTGGTTTTAGCAGTTTTTTTTTTTTTTTTTTTTTTTTCAGCAGGGTACATGGTAACCTTCATGTAAGTAACAATTCACATTACTAAAAATTGGCTTATCTGTCTGTTTTTAAGATATTACCTGTTTACTGGTACTTATAGAAAACGATCCCTAATCCTACCCAATATCTACACCCAGCTAACTTCACTAGCTGTTAATAAGCAGTATATTAATAATTAGTTTGGTCTTGTTTAACGTATTTTTTTTTTTAATTATGAGAATTGTACCTAAATAAATTGTGACCAAATGAATCTTAATGACCACCATGTTTAAAAGTTCGCATTTTATTTATTGCAAACACACAGGCATGCGTCATTTTGATTAAACAGACTTTTAGATATCAGAAAGCTTAGTTTATTTCTGTTCTGTAACATCAGGCCTGCATACTAGAGACTTCATCCATACTGAATGAATGATATGCCTTTTCATAGGTTTCTCCCAATTAAAAATCTTTAGTGGTGAGGTTATTACAGTGCGTTAAATTTAGCTCTGATAAATGCCTATTCACAACCATGGCTTTCATTCAAAAAAGTGTAATTACTGTTAATTACAATTTGCATGAATCTTTTCAGCCAGCACCTGCCCTATAATTACATATGTAAATGAATTGTAAGCTGAAGGGACACCAACTGTAGCTATTTGTGGAGGAGTAGATGATATGAGATGGACAAAATAATGATAGTGAAGAATGATAGAGGTGAGCTTTAGTGAACCACTTTTATTTTTAGCTCTCAATCACTGTCTGTACCTTCTGATAGTGTGTAATGATGGCAATAAGAACAGCCATGAGATTGTTTGTGTTCTATTACATGTTTTCAATCAATGTCAGTTTAAGGGTTGCCCAACCCAGCATGAGCTCTGCTCTAGCTGTTGCAATGCATTTCTTTTGAGAAGCCTGTGGTTATGCTGTGTTTGGCCTTTGGTCATCTTTAGTTTCTGTCCTATAATGATGTATTACTTCCACCGCTGTAGGCACTGCACACACACATACAACAGTGAATCCTTCTGAAAACCTCCTTGGTCTCCTAAACCACACTTCCAAGGTGTTTTGCAGCTATGTTGTCTTATTCCTTTTTTTTTTTTTTTTTTTTGTCTGAATTTTAAAATTGGAAAAAAAGTTAATATTAGCTGACCTTAATTATAAGTAATGTGGCTTTTAAGGTTTTGTTCTGTCAATCTGTGTGTGCTAGAAGAATGAGGGAAGGAAACAGGAATCCGTAATTTGAATATTGACTAATGTCAAGATCCACACTCATTTAAATATTTGTGTTTTATATTTCATTTACTTAAGATTATTCAGGGAACAAAACCTCAAACATTTCGGCTCAACACTTTCCTCAGTAGAAGGTTTTTAATCCAACCCAGGCTCATTTTAAAAATGTACCGCTTTATACATTTCTGGAGAGCACCAAATATGTCATAGGAGGTACATTTTATTTAATTTTTTGTTTTCACTAAACCACCAGAGGCCGCTGCGTATGCCTTTCAGATGTCAAATTTCTCTCGCGAGTGGCATTCATGCCTGCTGTTGTTACTTAAATCCACCAGAGGCCGATGTTGACTGACTAAATGACTGACTGACTGACTAACCGATGGACTGACTCACACTTTAATTTCCAAAACCCAACCAATAGTGCTTTCAAAAGCACAAATTAAACCACCCACTTTTCTAAACCCAACCAACAGTTTTAAAAGGCAATCCAGAAAAATAAAAGTCCTCATTTTTTTCCACATCTTCAGATTTTACCACATTCTCACCCTGTTTACTTGTTTATTTATTTATTTTTTGTCTTCTGTTTTTGTCTTACCCGCTTTCTGGAACTGTTCTTCGCTGCACTCTAACCCCATCGTCCGGGTCAACTCCTCTCTGCGTCTCAAGTCCACTGACATTAAATATTTAAATGAGTGTGGATAACTGCTTCAAAAGCTATCAACAAGATCAATGCACCAGGCATTGAATTGGCAATGCAAGAGCGCAGTGCAAACCATACTATTGAACTTAATATTGTATAATGCAAATTTACTCTTAGGAAAATGTCAAATATGAAGTAATTACCAGTTGCATTTGGTAAATGCTTAAAGTACAAAAAAATTACTTTAAATTTAACTCATATCAGACTCTAATTTTAGTATGAGGTGGTTTAGAATATTAATATATTTCTTTTTTTTTCTGACTCCAATTATAAAACATTAATATGATTATTTTGTTTTTTTTATACTACTTTAGATTATGATTGAATATTCTCTTAGATTCGTTATTGTATATTATTCTCGTTCATTCGGATTCCTATTACATCCTGAATCTTGTAACGGCTGAATACAATCTCTTAAACACAAGCAACATCAGTCTTGGTCACTAAACAGATTCAATTAACCAGTATTCTAAATAGGCAGAACCCTACTTACTCAGTTTAGAATATATATATATATATATATATATATATATATATATATATATATATATATATGTATATATATATATATGTATATATATATATATATATATATATATATATTTTTTTTTTTTTTTTTTTTTGTGGTCCCCATAGATCTATCTACTAAATCAAAACAAAACTATTTAATCATGCCATGATCATTACGATGGAAGTATGCAGACCAATCTGCTTCAACTATTAGTAACTTTAAGTAATCACTATACAATTTTATTAGTATTAATAGTTTAGAGATGAAGGTCTATCCATATAATATCAATGTGTTAGTCGTAGCTTACGAACATCATGTAGCATATCATGTTTTAGTCCCTTACTAACCTGTACAGGGGCTTGTGGTGTTTTGGACCTCATGTAATCTTCTAGAGATAATAACATGAAATCTGTTTTAATAATTCAAAACATACAAATTTATTAGTCAGGTAAATGTGTGTTATGCCAATTCATTCAGTCAATTCATAAACAATCAATACAAAACATCAAATCCAAGATCAAAAGATGCAAACCTGACTTCAAAATATACATCTTATGGGGCATGAGAGCTCCACAGTAGGGGCTAATCTGGGTACAGAATCGCCCCTAACATTTTGAAACTTTCCCTTAAGTAGTCAAACTTTGGTGGGGTGTGTGTCGAATAACAAAAGGCATTTGCTTTTAGTGACATGTTTAATCTGAAGAGTTTCTGCCTCTAAGTAAAGGCACACCCTTTGCAGTGGTTCAAAAGATACCAGAAGTTATATATCTATTATTTTGATTATGTCCATTGCTGATGGAATGAGACCATTGTACCAATCACACTAAGACATTTCAAATGATATCAAACATAATAAAGTCACTTGGATTGATTTAGAACCTTCACACTTTGAAATGACCATCCTGTGCGAGTATGTATGAACAGAGGGTGAGTGAATGGAGGGGGTTGCGGGGATGCTTCAAATGAAAATGAAAACCCCAGACCCCACCTCTTTCAGACGGACTCGGATACGGGTCATGGCTGTGCACCCGAGTTCAGAAGACACATTCACACTAGCTAAACGTACAGTATTCTGACGTCAAACTAACTCGGGTGCAGACCAAAAGTAGTAGTGTGAAAGCACCCTAAGGGGCCGATCACACCTAATACGATTTATGCGTTGTGTAACAGCCCGGTTGGAGAAATAAAAGGAATAAACTCATGCACTGATGTTGCACTGTCCTCCTTTGTGCCTTTATTGTTGTGATAGCCGTCCTTAAAGACTGTACAACACCGTAAGAGCTAAGAACAGATGAATAAACACAAATAGAAAAGATGTAATGAATAATAGTTCACATAATAAGACAAAACAATAAACTTAGTGACAATATTATAAAGTATCTGCAAATATATGACTAATTTTACGATAAAATAGCAATTTAAATTATTAGCAAGCTAACAGATGCATCAAATTTTAGCAATATGTATAAAAATGTCCTCATCTACCTTGTTCTCCCTTCCAACCAGGTGTTCAAACAATGAAGATGAACAGAACAAAAAACAAACTCAAATATGCATTAAATCTCTCCTAAATCAGTCCTTAAATGTAACATTAGCTCCGTGCATTTCTCTGTGCAAGCGATCGCTCTCTCCCTCGTGCTAGGCGCGCTTCTCCGATCTCCCTGCTTCCGTGATCTGCGCGCGCTCGCGCACCTGACCACTTCCGGCAAGCCGCGCGTCAAAATAAGGGTCTCTATAGGCTAAATAACTTAGTGCAAAGCGGAGTTCAAATAAATAACAAAAACACAACAATTTTTAAAGAAATAGAGAAGTAATTAAAAGCAGCATAAATAATTAAGACTGAAACCTAACTTAAATAACTTGGGGTTATTTACACTCCCACCAATCATGAGTGATTATGAATTTTAACCTTTTAATCACGAATGATTTTAAATGAATTATAATTACTACTACTATAACCATTTAAGACTAGATGTAAACAACACTAAAACATATATTACTATGAACTGTTTACTCAAAGGATATGTCAGTATGTTCAGGCTGCCTCCATCAGCAGGACCAACTTCTGTACTGGACGTTCCACCACAGATGGTTTATGTGGACTTTTACCATCCTTCCCCAGATTTCTGTCTCCGAACTGTATTTTCACTCTTCTCACCAATCCGTCCTTGTCAGTGACTGCCTCAATAATCCTTGCCAAGCGCCACTCATTCCTGGGCAGATCCACTGCCTTCTCCAAGACAATATCTCCTACTTGCATGTTCCTTCTTGGTGTATGCCAGCACTGTCTTGTTGTGATGTTAGACACATACTCCTTATGCCAACGTCCCCAGAATTGTTCCGCTAAGTATTGGACATGCCGCCATCTCTTACGGGCATACACATCTTCCCTGACAAATTTGCCAGGAGGTGGTAGGGCTTGAGTAGGTTTTAGGGTGAGGAGGTGATTAGGGGTTAGAGGTTCAGGGCTACTTGGGTCAGTTAGACTATCAACCGTGAGCGGACGACTGTTTACAATGGACATGGCCTCGTAAAAGAATGTTCGCAGAGAAGAGTCATCGAGCCTTCCAGATGACTGTGACAGGGTGGAGCGAAGAACACTTCTGACAGTTCTAATCTGTCTTTCCCAAACTCCGCCAGTGTGGCTTGAATGAGGTGCATTAAAAACAAAGTCACACTGTTTTTCCGCTAAGAATGTTACCAGACGGTTGGTGTCAATCTCCTCCATAGCTTTGGTGAGCTCATTCTTGGCTCCAATGAAATTACTGCCTTGATCACACCTTATTTGATGGACTGCTCCTCTGATAGCAATGAAACAACGCAGGCCATTGATAAAGGCATCGGTGGACATGTCATCCAGCATCTCAATATGGATGGCTCTGCAACAGAAACAGGTAAAGAGAAGTCCATACCTCTTGTTTGACTTGCGACCTTTGCTGGTGATGAATGGACCGAAAACATCCATCCCGCTGTATGTGAATGGAGGGGATGGCTCTATGCGCTCTGAGGGTAAGTTAGCCATTTTTTGCTCTTCTGTAGGTCCACGTAACTTGCGACATCTCACACATTGTCGTACAAAGGAAGCTACAGTCCTGTTAACTCCCGTAATCCAGAATCCTCTTGATCTGATTTCATTTATAGTCATTCCCTTTCCTTGATGAGCCATCTTCTCATGACAATCAGCAATCAAGAGTTTTGTAAGTTGGTGCTCCTTCGGAAGTATCACTGGATACTTAACAGCATTAGGGATAGATGCCTCACAAAGTCTCCCTCCCACATCAGCAATCCATCTTGGTCGACAAAGGTGTCAAGATTGTATAGTCTGTTGCTGCGAGGTAGTTGTTTGCCCTTACGGAGTAAAGTTATCTCCTCTGCATATGTCTGCTTCTGTAAGTCCTTGATTATGATACATAGTGCATCATTCCGTTCCGCCAATGTACTGTGATTATGTGACTTGTCTTTCCTGACACGACGTATTAAACGTGCAACAGCTTGGATAGCTTTGGACCATGAGGACAACTTGGTGAGACGGTCTGACAAACATGAATACTGTACAGTTTGCGTGTTGAGTGACTGAACCTTCTTGACTTCAGGGTCGCCAATTGGAAGCTGCTTGCTGATTTCCATAGGTGGAGGTATTTGCTTTTCCCATAAAACTTTAGGTCCTCTAAACCAGTTGGAAGTGACAAGATTGTTAACACTTAGACCACGCGATGCGTAATCGGCTGGATTTTCATCTGAGCAAATGTACCGCCACTGTTGAGGAGTTGTGGTGCGGTGAATCCTTTGTACTCTATTTGCCACAAACGTGTGGAAACGGCGGGCTTCATTGTTTATGTAGCCTAACACCACTTGTGAGTCAGTCCAGAAAAACGCTTCTGCATCTGCCAGGTTCATTTCCTCCTTCAACATGTCATTCACTGCAACTGACACCACTGCGGCAGCCAATTCTAGCCGAGGAATTGTTGTGATCTTGAGTGGGGCCACTCTAGATTTTGCCATGAGCAACGAACAACTGATGTCACCTTGCTCGTTCTCGAGTCCGAGATATGAACACTGACCATATCCACTCATGCTGGCGTCTGAGAAGTGGTGAATCTCTCTCCTTATGATTCTCCCAAAGCCAGAAGGCACAATACAACGAGGCACTTCAATCTTTTCTAGATTAACTAGATCTGCCTTCCAGTGTTCCCATGCTGATTGTAGATCAGCGGGTAAGTTATCATCCCAACCCATACCACTTCGGCACATTTCTTGCAGAATGGTCTTTCCTTTGAGTACAAAGGGGGCAAGAAAGCCTAAGGGATCAAACAATGAGGCCACTATGGACAGTATCCCTCTACGAGTTGCTGGTTGGTCCTTAACAGTGATACGGAATTTGAAATTGTCTTGTTCCAGACTCCAGTATATGCCCAAAGCTCTTTCCAAAGGCTGATCAGTGAGAGCAAGATCGACAGCTGTAACATCTACCGCACACTCTGAGGGTGGTATTGTCTTCAAGACTTCCTTGTCATTAGACACAAACTTGTGAACCCTTAAGCTTCCCAGTGCACAAAGCTGACGAGCTTCTTCAGCCAATTTGATGGCCTTCTCTGTGCTTTCAATGCTGGAAACTCCATCATCCATGTAGAAATCTTGCATATTAAATTGCGAGCCCAGAGGATACAGACGTTCACCTTCTCTTGCAAGATGCTTCAGCCCATAGTTAGCGCATCCAGGGGACGATGAGGCTCCAAACAAATGCACTGTCATGCGGAAGGTTTGAGGCTGTGAATTGAAATCTCCATTTCTCCACCATAGAAATCGTAAATAATCACGATCCGCATGGTCTACATGAAATTGGTGAAACATTTTCTCCACGTCACACATTAGGACTACAGGGTACTGTCTGAACCTCAAAAGGATGCCAGTTAAGCTGTTCATCAGATCTGGGCCAGTTAGAAGATGGTCGTTCAAGCTAGTTCCCTTGTATCTGGCTGAACAGTCAAAAACTATACGCAATTTCCCTGGCTTTTTCGAGTGGTACACTCCGTGATGTGGTATGTACCATCTTTCTCCTTCTCGTCCTTCCTCAAACACCTGTTCTGCATTACCCTTCTCTATTACTTCCTCCATGAATGTTACATAATGCTCTCTGTACTCCTGATCCCTCATTAATCTCCTCTTCAAATGTTGAAGTCTTATGACAGCAAGAGGTTTGTTATCTGGAAGATATGGTCTTTTCCTGAATGGCAGGGGCATTTCCAGATGACTATCCTTGTTCAATCTGATATTCTTTTCCAGCTTTCTCAGAAACATGATGTCCTCCTGAGACGTCACTTTAGTGTGCCCTTCTGTATCCTTGAAATCAGATTCCAGCACTTTTATCACATCTGTGGGAGTTACTGCAGGTATTTCCTTGATAGACACTCTATGACACATGGCAGCACTGCTTTGGGACTCAAAATGTGTTAAGGAAGGACCTATAATGCTCCATCTGAGGTCCGTGCGAACAGCATATGGTTCATTCTCCGTTCCAAGAATTACTTCTCGGGGCGCTAGCGCTCTGGAACAATTGTATCCTATCAATAGTCCAACCTCACAATTTTGAAGTGGGGGAATTTTGTCTGCTAGAATGGCTAGATGTTTCCAATGACTTGCAGTCTCCATTGTAGGGATGTGTGCGTGATCCACAGGAATGCATTCTTTGGTGTATGCAGGGGGTAGATCTATAATCAGTGAGGAATTGAAACCTCTAACTCGAAGACCAGAAATCCTTTCACTTGACATCAAGGAGTCCTTTCCAACTAAAGTAGTGAGTTTAAGCGTCACGGGACAGGAGTCGACTTTAAGACTTTTGCATACTGCAATTCAATAAAGACTGAATCGCTTTGTGTGTCTAACAGAGCATAGACGAGCTTCTCAGAAACTGGGTCTTTATGTGTGGACAACCACACTGGCACAATCATAGAGGTGTTAACAGGCGTGCATCCAGATTCTACTCTCAATGACATGGTCGCAACTCCTTCATGGACATTTTCTGGGCTCTGAGCAGAAGAAGACCTCACCTTTCTATTGAAGCTGTCATCATGTAGGCAGGTAGGGTGTCTTCCCTTACAGGTGTTGCAGCAATGTCGGGAGCGGCAGTCCTTGGCACTGTGACCCAGCCTCAAACATCCATAGCACAATCTTGTATCCTTTACGAACTGTCTACGTTCTTCAAGAGACCTTGCAGAGAATTTAGAACATTCATGAATTTGATGTTCACCATTTTGACAGAACAGACATGGCTTATTGACCTTTCCAGTGGGCTTTGAATTATCATGCTGTGTGACAGTCTTTGTATGGAAGACATTAGCTTTAGGTTTACTGACCTTGAAATAATTTTTCTCTTTGTTAGGTTCTGAAACATGAAGGGCATGAAAGGATGTGACTGGATTACAGGCAACTTCAGCTTCAACAGACATGAAATGGGCAAATTCTCGAAAAGTTGGAAAATCTTGTGTTTCACTCAGCGTTTGTGTGGTTTGACGATTCCAGCGGGCAGCCGCCCAATCAGGGAGTTTGCTTACAAGCTTCCTATTCTCTTCGCAATCATTCAATATTTCCAGTCCCTTTACATGTGGCATTGCATCCTTACATGAGTTCAAGAAATCAGAGAAATTTCGAAGTCCTACCGAGTCCTTGGATTGAATTTTAGGCCAGTATGCGAGTTTCTCTCTGAATGCTCGTTGTATGATGAATGGCTGTCCGTAGCGATCTAGAAGCCTCTTCCACGCGTCCTTGTAAGCCTCCTCATCATTTCTGTAAAAGATACCATCTAGCACTTTCAGAGCAGGCCCAGTAACGTACTTCTTCAGGTAGTATAACTTGTCTCCTGAAGAGATATGTCTTTTATCAATGAGTGATTGAAATGAAGCCTTCCACTCTATGAAGTGAATGGGGTCACCACTGAAAACTGTGGGCTCTGGCATAGGAAGTCTGTTTAGTGTTATGCTATCTTGGACAGCCTGCGCTAATTGAGACACATCAGCGTTGGGACTCTGTGATAAAATGTTAGGCGTTGGATTAACGGAGGATAAGTATACTGGTTTATGCGTGGGAGGGCTTACAGGTTGCTGCAGCCCTTCATCTTGATTAACAGTGTCAACAGTTTCTTCCTTGTCATACACCTCCAGTCTTGCTCTAGCTGCTCTTACCTCCTTCATCGCTTGGAGCCTTTCAAACTCGCCTTTTTGAGCCTCAAGTTCTTTTCTTTGCTTCTCTTCTAGAAGTCGTAATTTTCCTCTTTGCTCCCTTTCTTCTATTACAGTAGCATATTCTGCTTCCTTAGCTGCTAGCTCTGCTGCTGCCTCTATGCGTTTAGCCATTAGTATAGAATTCAGAGAGGGTTGACTTGAAACAGTAGAACCATAAACAGAGCGAGCGTAGTCTCGTTCAAGCAGCTCACGTAAATGCCCCTTTACGGTTTCATTGTCAAAGCCTCCATCTACCCCTGAGATCCTCTCGTATGCAATTTTTACTATATCCTTTGTAACAGCATCACAAGCATCAATTTTCCTTCTCATATCAGTGGGTGGAGTTACATAACTTCTAACCCTTATGTATGCATTCATCACACTGTCCTTTTCCTTTTCCAATGAGTCTATGAGTGATGCTAATTCACTCTCAGAAATGTCTAATTTCAACTGACTTCTTGCTTTCCGAGCCTCAGCCTTCCATTTTTCATATGCATGCATAAGCTTTCTTTCTGCTTTATGAGACTCCTCCCTTTGATATGCAAGCATCCTGTCTGTCTGAGTTTGTTCACGGGTAGAGCGACGTACATTTGTGTCTAATTCTTCAGATTGAACTTCTATTTCTTCATCAACTTCTTTGTTTTGAACATTATCAATTTGTTCGTTTACTTTTGCAGGAGTGCACAAATTGGAACCGTGATCCGTCATCATTTACATCAGCAAATAATGTCAGTGGGTGTAAGCTCTTACTGTAACAGCCCGGTTGGAGAAATAAAAGGAATAAACTCATGCACTGATGTTGCACTGTCCTCCTTTGTGCCTTTATTGTTGTGATAGCCGTCCTTAAAGACTGTACAACACCGTAAGAGCTAAGAACAGATGAATAAACACAAATAGAAAAGATGTAATGAATAATAGTTCACATAATAAGACAAAACAATAAACTTAGTGACAATATTATAAAGTATCTGCAAATATATGACTAATTTTACGATAAAATAGCAATTTAAATTATTAGCAAGCTAACAGATGCATCAAATTTTAGCAATATGTATAAAAATGTCCTCATCTACCTTGTTCTCCCTTCCAACCAGGTGTTCAAACAATGAAGATGAACAGAACAAAAAACAAACTCAAATATGCATTAAATCTCTCCTAAATCAGTCCTTAAATGTAACATTAGCTCCGTGCATTTCTCTGTGCAAGCGATCGCTCTCTCCCTCGTGCTAGGCGCGCTTCTCCGATCTCCCTGCTTCCGTGATCTGCGCGCGCTCGCGCACCTGACCACTTCCGGCAAGCCGCGCGTCAAAATAAGGGTCTCTATAGGCTAAATAACTTAGTGCAAAGCGGAGTTCAAATAAATAACAAAAACACAACAATTTTTTAAAGAAATAGAGAAGTAATTAAAAGCAGCATAAATAATTAAGACTGAAACCTAACTTAAATAACTTGGGGTTATTTACACGTTGAGAGGCGCCTCTTATGAATGGTTTACTAACGGACGCAAGCATTTTAAGTGCTGCTTATGCACCCTGCACGCCTCGCGTTTTTGCTGTTGCGCGCTGTGCTATCTTAGTTGAAAAATAGTCAACTCTCAGTGGAAACAGCTCGTTACGTCACTCGCATCTGTTTCATTCCCCAATCAAATGACAACAGGTGCTGGGTTTCCACTGAGGTGCCTGCAATGTTTATGTGGCCAAAGCAACAAGGGAGATTTTTGAAGATGGAGGAGAGACCTGTGGTTGCTGATTCAAGTTATCCAGAGCTGTATGACTTCACAAATATTGAATATCACAATATTATTCGATATTAAAGTTATATCGATATCAACAGCAACACTCTCGCAAAATACCCAGCTGATTCAGTCATGGCCTAGCAAAAAAAAAAAAAAAAAAAAGGCAACAAAAGGCAACAAAAAGGCAGTGTGGTGCGCCTTGTAGTTTTGCAATGTAAAGGCACATTCGTGTGATTGGCCCCTAAGACTGCCATAAATGTGGTTGGTGTTGTGATCTCATTCCTTTCGAGTATGCATGGTCATTAGCTTGGGCACTCTGATAAAATGCAGTTTTTGTTTGATTCAAATGTTTAGAAACTAAACTTACAAGACAGATGTTGTTTAATTTTATTGGTGATTCCAAATATGTAATGTAATCATACATTTGGCAAACAGTTTTAGAGAATTTGATGTTTCCTCATTCAGACAGAATGCGATTTTTCAGATGTTTCAGAGATGGTGGAATGACTTGCCTTAAAGGGACTTTGGCTTCAGTGAGATGCACAAGGGGTTAGGAACTCATCCATAAAAAAAAAATAAAAAAAAAATTCAAAGATCTCTATAGTTTATTGTTTACAGATACAATTTATCATTTTAACACTGAAATGCAATAGCAATAAAGATGTGCTGTTCAATACCTTAATTAAAAATGTTATATAGGAATGACTATTTAAGCATTCACCAACAACCATTGCTTCACATTTCCTAAAGGTATTTTTCATGTTTGGCAGCTGAGTGAGCAGAAAGATGTAATCTCTTCTAAACAAATGAGAAAGATGTGATGATATGACTGGCCTGGATAATCAACAGCTGGCTCGTTCCTCTATCTGTCGTTCTCCAGGGTTTTCAGAAGGGTAGGCAAATAAACGGTAATGTATCAACACATTCAAATCATCTGACACGATCATCGTCTAGACATGCATATAATCTGGCAAAAGCACTTTTATCCAAGCCACACACACCTATATGATCATGAACATATGCAGACGCACCCATCCTGAATCATTCATTCAGTGCTTTTCTGAAATGTGGTTGAGAAACCACCTAGCCTCAAAATGCTATATGTATAGACATAATGCATACGTTATATCAAGACACACAGGATACTTAAATTCAGTGCATAAATATTGATTCTGCATTCTTTTGTCAGTAGGGAAAAATGAAGGTGCTGATGCCGTGTGACACTGAATATTTCTTTAGCATGATACTGATGGATGCACCTCATTGATTCCAATTACAAAACCTTTAAGGCCAAATAAGGACACCCTCGATCATCTTTACCCTCCTGCACATAAAGGCAGTAAAAATCCCTCCTTCATTTCATCTAGTGTCTAAATTACCACATCTGACCAATCCATCAGGCCCTGTTTGGTATCGGAAGCCATTAGCTTCTGCATGCTAAATTGAAAGGCGACTTCCTCGGCTTTGCATCATCGTTTGATTAACATTGCTAATGGAGGGCTAGCGCACCGGAGGGGTGGCGGCTGATGCATCTATGCCAAGCGGCGTGGTTAAGAGGTGACAGCAAATAAATTGGACTCCACCGAGATAAGCATTTCCGAATACCAGTCTCATTTGATGACAGCCATTAGCCTTGGTGTGCCAAATTGATCAAGTTGTCACAAAAGGCTGAACTAGCCAACTTATTAACCAGCATGAAGTCTTCAGTAATTTTATGTAGGTGAATAGATATGATTGTTAATAAGTGTGGGTTTTGCAATTATGGATCACAAAATCCTACTGTCTACTGCAGGCCTGAAACATTTCATTTCATTTTCTTGTCAGCTTAGTCCCTTAATCAATCCGTGGTTGCCACAGCAGAATGAACCGCCAACTTATCCAGCACGTTTTTTTTACGCATCTGATGCCCTATCAGCCCCAACCCATCTCTGGTAAAGGCCTGAGACATATCATATCATAAACATGTCATATGATCGTGAGTCTTTGAGATGCATCCCCAACTCTTGCATTTATTTTTGAGTAAAGGATATTGTATATTTGCAGTATTATCTCTGAATTGGCTTTCTATAATACAATTTTACCAGACAAATAAAATATTCTATTTGATTTATTTTGAATTTGACTGAAATCATTATTACCGGAAAACTGAGTGGAAACTTTTGTTGACCTTTAATGTTTTACGACTATGAAATCACAAATAAAGAAGTGAATAGCACTTATTTGTTTGCCTTTAGCTTTAGCTTTCTGACTACTTTTGATCTGGCAAGTTTCACTACCTTTTCTGTCACAGAGCAAGCAGTAGTTGGCAGGGTTAAAAGGCACCAGTTGCCATCAAACCATCAAACCTCTAACTAAGAATAAAGCTCGCGAGCCCAAATGGGGAAGGGCTGTGAAATTGGCCAGGCATGGACTCAGAACGACAAAGGATTCCTAATGAAAGAATAACTGATAGTATAGTGTACAGTTGAAGTCAGAATTATTAGCCCCTCTCTGATTTAAAATTTTTATTTATTTATTTATTTATTTTTAATAGATTAATGAAATTTTCACAGTCCAGTATGTCTTATAGTATTCTTTTTTTCTAAGTCTTATTTGTTTTATTTCGGCTAGAATAAAAGAAATAAAAAAATAAAAAACATTTAAGGTCAAAATTATTAGCCCCTTTAAGCTATATATTTTCCGATAGTCTAAAGAACAAACCATCATTATACAATAACTTGCCTAATTAACCAAGTTAAGCCTTTAAATGTCACCTTAGGCTGTATAGAAGTGTCTTGAAAAATATCTAGTAAAACATTTTTACTGTCATCATGGCAAGATCAAATAAATCAGTTATTAGAAATGTGCTATTAAAACTATGTTTAGAAATGTATTAAAAAAAATCTCTCTGTTAAACAGTAATTGGTGGAAAAAAAAAAAAAAAACAAGGGGGCTAATAATTCTGACTTCAACTATATCTGGAATAATCAAATATCAAAATTTACAAACCTTTGGTGAAAGTGATCCATTACAACACAGTCTAAATTTTATGATCCCTTAAAATTCGAGTCAGATAAAACTTAGAGCTGGAAGTAAACAAATTATAATAAACAAGACAATTATTTTCAGAAGAGCTACGAAAGGCTTACACACATTAACCTTTGACCATGCTGTTAGTTTTATCCTTGGGCTAATAGATGGACCTTTACAACCCAAAAATGAAAATTTCCCTACGCTCTAAATAATTACGTTTGCTGTTTGTCCAAAGTACTTAATTAAAATGAGCTAAAACAACAAAAAATGTTGGGGGGTACAACTTAATTGCTTTATGTTCAATCTGCTTAAATTTGTAAAAACTAAAAACGAAATTCCTTCATGTTGCCTCAACACAAATTGATTGTGTGGAACCCAGCATTTTTTACAGTGCACATTTAGTCGTCCCCAAAATTTTAATTTCTCATTTCTGAACACTAAGGAAATCTAAGGCCCCATTTACACTGATGCGTTTTAGTTTTAAAATGGAGTTATAGAACCAAAACGCTCAATGTCCACACTGCCATTCATTTAGCATTTCGCACCAATGTTAACGCACATCACATGACCACACACTCTAGCATGCGCAGATATGCGCTCGTCTGAGCTCCAGGCAGTCAGCGGGTGCTTTGACCACAACACATAAGATCTACTGCTGGATTTCAGCTCACTAAAGTTGTTAAACATGATATTTTTTTATCTTGTCTATATATAATGATTAACAAATGACTTGTTTTCAGGTAACATGTTTTGGCTTAGCGCAAAGGTAAGTTAATATGTTAATTTATGTAACCATGTACACTGATTCTGCATATTTGACTGATTGCTTGCCGTTATTTTTTACATTGTATTAAAGGGCACCAATGGTGAACAATCTACTTCAAACTGTTTGGACAGACATATGTGTAGGTATAGTATATAGACAGTCATTTTGGGGTAATATAAACACACCCAGTCCTTTTTTTTATTTCAATTTAACAACATAAACTACGATCCCTTCGCCCACCAATATTGATTCACAGGCACACATTACCATACCCTTAGTTTGTTGTTTGACATCTGCCATTTTCAGCGTGCGAGTCAAAGTGATGTCACCAAAAGAATTACGCTTGCTCTATTTTTAGATATAAGGCTCATTAGGCTTAACACAAGATCAACATTCACCACATGATCGCTCTTATCGGTGCCGTTTTTTGTGACTTTAGGTGGGTTTGCAAACGTGTACTTTTCACTGCGTCTTCCTTAAACTTCAGCCTTGGTCACAGAAGCTCTTTGTCATCTTAACATTGCCTCACATGCGCATACCTCCATTGGAATAATCGAACTTGCCTTAAGCAGGTCGTACACTAGAAGCGCTGCTTGGCGACTTGCAGCACCATGCATTTTAGAATTCTAAACACCGGCGCCCAGCCACGACTCAGGACACTGTTCATATTTTTTCCGCGGCACAAAGCGCCATCTGAATAGTTTCATTTTCAATAACATGCGAATGTGAGCGTCTGGTGTGCCGTGTCACGGCTCTGATTTTCGCATCTAGTGTGTGACGCACTTAAGTTATAGCCTCAGTCAAAGTTAATTCAGTGTACGTGGTTATTAGTCTCTGTATACAAGCTTGGAACTTCAAACCAGCACACAGTTGGCTGTAGAACTATACAAAGACACAAATGAGTTTGTAGTCTCTACTTGGTCTGTGTCTGAGTCGTACATGTAC